GTAGCCTTGTTGCTACGAGTCGCTGAGCGTCAGCCCGATCCTTGGCTAGATTTGTTGGCAAACACCTCCCATCAACGGGCCCGGCAGCGCCGGGCGCTTGGAGGGGGGCCCAGACACCTTTCTCCGGAGACGCGGGGGGGCACCGGTGACGGCCGGTCCCCTCGGGATCTCCACCTCCATGGACTCTCGCCAGTTGGCCGGCCGAGATGGCCGCGGGGACCCGCGCGCCGCCGCCGCCTGGTGACGAAGGGCAGTGACCAGTTGGCTGGGGCACATGGCCGCACGGGCGGCGCGCGGTCTGCCGGCGCAGGTGGGCCTCCCCCCGGAACGACGTTCGGACCCGGGAACGTTTGCGCGCACGATGATGGGCCGGGCGAGGTCGGTGGGTATGTGTAGGAGAAGGGCCGCCGGCGGCGCGCGCGAGGGTCCCGGTTGAGGGGAGTCGGTTGAGGGGGGCTGGGGGCCCGGTAGGCGCGCGCCCTCGAGGCGAGCAGAGAGTCGCGCGCGCGAGGGCGACGAAGGGAGGGCGAGGAGGGCGAGGAGGGCGAGGAGGAGGAGGAGGGGGAGGCGCGCAGGCGAGCGCGCGGCGGCCAGTTGGCTGGCCGAGTTGGCGCGGCGGGGGGCGCCGCGCGGGCGGGCGGCAGGGTGACCAGTTGGCGGGAGCCCCTTGGGCAGGCCGGCCGCCGGCAGGCAAGGGCGCGCGCCATGGACAGACGCTGGCCGAGCGACACACTCGCAGGCACCGGGGGTGACCAGTTGGCCGGCGCGCGCCAGGGACCGACACCGGGTCGAGAGACACCCAGACGGACACGGGAGGCGCCAGAGGTGACCAGTTGGCCGGCGCGCGCGCGCCCTTGTCGGCACCGGAGAGCCGCGCGCCGTCTACGGGGACACTTGCAGCGACACGCACATGGCCGTCGGCCTCGACGGATGCCGGCATGGCCCGCCGGCGGCATCCATCCGTGGGGATACGCAGACACCCACCCATCCATCCATATATATATGTGCATATGCACCCGCATCCCCCCCCGACATCTGCACGGAGGTAGGTCGGCATGGCCCACCGGTGCCATCTAGCCAGCTAGCGAGCTACCGATCCATCCATCGCGATACACGGACAGACACACAGACCCCGCGGCCGATATAGGCCGGGCGCGCGCGCCCTGCCGCAGCGAGCGATGGGCCGCGCGCGCGGAGGGGACCGGTGGGCAGGCGGGCGCAGGCTTCGAGGGCCGACCGGCCCTGCGCGCGCGAGACGGCGCGAGTGACCAAGTCCCCTTGCGGCCCAAGCAACGGGCGAACCTGAGAGGCCCACTTTGTATGGGCGCGCG